ACTATAGGTACTTTTTCTATTTGTCCTAAGGCTCTGTTTCTTGTCCCATCCGCAGTGACTACAATAGTGTTGGAGGGTTTAGTGATTTCCAATCTCAACTTTCGAGCAAGAGATTTGGTGATAACACAAACAGCAGCTCCTGAATCTAAAATTGCATAAACAGGATCTCCTTTAATTCTCACTGCACATTTCACAGCAGTGGTGTCTCTAGTATCACATTCTTCAGAATCAGAGATTCTATATACATAGTTAGTTTCTTGAGTCTTAGGTGGTCTTCTCAAAATTCTGGCAAAATCTTTCTTTTGGTCGTTATATTTCAAAAGTTGTCCAATCTTTGCTGAAGATGGCATATTTAATATGTCATCTGAAATGAGATAAAGAGGCATCTGTTCAATAATTGAGGGCATTCTTGGGGTTATTTTAACAGTTCTTTTTGGTGGAACAGCAGGAGTAGCAGTTGTTTCAATAACTTCATCCATTGGAATATTGATATTTTGTCTTGGTTGGGGTCTTCTCAATCTCTGTTCTTGTTGTGATTCAGATAAAATAATATTTTCTACAGCTCTTGGTTGTTTAGGTTTTGGCCTATAGTTAGTGATTGGTTGAGATCTAGAACGAGTAGTAACATAGGCTTCAGCATCCTCATAATTGTAATCGTAATAATCTTGATAATATTCATCTTAATAATAATTATCATAAGAATCATAAGTTTCTTCATATGTTTCCAAATAATAAGCATCTCTTCTTTGAGGTCTTCTTGCATTTCTTTCTGACATACAATCTCTAGCGTAATGTCCTTTTTCTCCACATCTGTAGCATTCGATATCTCTTATAACAGTTCTGGGTCTATTAGGTCTGAAAATTTGGGTTAAATTATTTGGTTGAGTATATCTCGAAGGTTGGATTCTTCTAACAGGTTGTGGTTGAATGGGTTGAGTTTGAGCTAATAAAGCACTAGATAAATTTGCATAGTTAAGTGAAAGTTTCTGCATTTGTTGAGTTAATGCTTCAATTGCTTCCATTTGAAGACTTTCAGTTTTTGCAGGTGTGGTTGATACAGTAGCTACTTTAGTAGCAATTCCAGTAACACTTGGTCCTAAATGTGCGTAATTTAATCCAGTTTCAACTTTTCTTGCATTACCAATGACATCAGATAAAGTATTAGCATCTTGTAAATGTACCATAGGAGTGATAGTAGGAGTTAATCCAAAAAGGAACATTCTAATTTTCTGAGCATCAGGAATAGCATTGGTAGTATCAACTCTCTTTAATAACCTTTGGAATTTAGCGGCATAATCATCTACTGTTTCATTACTACCTTGTCTTAAGGTGAGTAATTCCTGATACCATTTATTTTTGCGAGTATCATTTGCAAAATATTTTTTAAAAAGGTCTGTAAAATTATTGCCAGTGTTTTGTTCAGATTCCCAGTAGTTACCTATTGTAGCAGAATTAGTATCATACCAATCAGATGCAGCACCTCTTAAATAAGAAGCTGCAACTGCTAGTTTTCTCTCAGGAGTAGTCCAACCATTAGTAGCAGCAGCCTTTTCAAAAATAGCTAACCATTCGATAGGATCTTCATCTTCTTTTCCAGAAAAGGGTTCAATTTTTGCAATATTACTTCCTCTGCTCAAAAGATTGGCAGCATTATTACCAAAAACAGTTTGCAAAGCATTGGTGATAGCAGCTTCGTCAGCCATATTTTGATTATAAACAGGAGGGTTATCTATGAGATTATTAGGGTTATTATTTCTTTCAGTTTGGATATCAGTGTTAAGTTGAGCAACTAATTGAGGTGTAACAGGATTATTAAAATAGTTTGTTCTATGAGTAAGATTGAAGAAGAAAAATACTAGATTTCTGATAGGATCAGGTCTTTGCTGGTATCTAATACTAAAAAGTAGTTTACTAGATAGGATTAAAACTTGGAGTCCTTTGATTCTATTGTTATCTAATTGAAATGCTTGACAGAAGATAGGTAAAGCCCTTATAGTGTAGGAGGTATAACTAACTGCAAAGAAGTAGTTACTAATCCAATTCCAGAAATTTTGAAAGGCAGGTGGTAAAACAAGAGGTGGAGGATAACAGATACGACAAGAATGATCTACAGTAGTAGGTGGATTTATATTTGAAAGATGTTGAGCAGTATGGCGAGTAGTTAATTGTAATTGTTGTTCGAAATGATCTTGTATGGTCATAAATCTCTTATGACCTGGCAGGAATCACCACTTTGTTAACAGGTCCGTCTCAGACTCTGTCAACTATAACTAAACGTTAGGGAGTCAATAGCTATAACGTAGTTTATATCAGCAAGACACGCAAAAACACAATACGCAAAATATAACACAATCACAGTTCGTTTTTAATATAAGAGTTTATTAAATAGTTAATACAAGTTAATCCCTAACTTATACTATCTATTTTCTATCTATCTGACACACTGACACACACTTTAACTTAAGAAAAATCAAAAGATATTTATATAAAAATAAAATATAAAGAAAATAATATAACTAAAATAAATAAAGTAAATAAAATAAATGTAATAAATAAAAGAAATAATAAAAATAATAAAAATAACATAAATAATATAAATAACAAAAATAACAATTGTAACGTTAATCAGATCTACAAAATTATTTGATTACATAATGATTGATCTACTAATTAATCATCTGATTTTTGAATCACGTGATTTTTACTGCGCCATAATCTTCGTTATCACCGCACACACTATATACCTGTTTTAGACGCTGATACTAGAACCAACTTGACGCCCAAAAAAGTAACTCCTATTTTGCGTCTTTGTCCAGGACAATGTGGTCATAGTGTACCCTTTTGTGGTGATTTACGTCCAAAATGTATAATTGTTTCGCTAACATCACAATTAATTCTTTTTAACGTTCATGCAAAAAAATTTATACCCAACAAAAATTTTTTAAAATTGGAAAAAAATTTTATTTTTCCAGTTACACCTTTATATATGCTTCGTACTCAAGCGTTTTTAATTGCTAAGCATAGATTAATTATACCCAATGTTTTACCCCCAACGGTCCCTATTTTATCTATATTAGATTCATATTTGAATGCAAATTCAAAAATTTTTAATAATTCGATTAATCTCAATTTAAACATTTCTTCTTCTTTTTTTATTAATAATATATTTGTAGGAAATAGAGATTTGATTATTCAACTTTTAGAAATAGCTAAACAATTTTTGTTACGAAAAAATTTCATTTTTTATACTGATGGTTCTTTTACTAGTTTAGATGTTAATTCTTCTACTCAAACTCAAATGGGTTTTGCTTGGATAGAGACTACAGATGCAACTCCTAATTCAGGTCCTCCTCCACCATCATACAAAGGCGCTTTATCTTTTAATCCCTCTTCTACCAAAGCAGAAGTTTACGCGCTGTTAACGGCAATTATTGCAGTACCTGATGATAGTGAATTGGATGTTTTCACAGATTCGCTTAATGTTATTCATACTTTCCACGTGGTCACGAACAAATTAACCTCCACTAGACGAATTTTGAAATGCAACAACCATTAGCATGGTGCCTGATCGATACCCTAATTACGAAAAAATCTGTGATTGTTAGATTACACAAAGTTAAAGCTCACTCCAACGATTATTGGAATGACATGGCAGATGATCTCGCCAATACAGCATGTCAACTTGCACCTTACGAAATCAACCCTACGAATCTACCAGGTTTGTTAATGACCCCGATATGGGCTTCAATTGCACCGATTGATCGAGACATCAGAAAATTTTGTCACAATTTAACGGATGTCTATACTTTCGATCAATTCCTGGATAATCCTTCGCTCTCACCTATTTTCGATAGATTTCCCATATCCTCAATACATTGGCCCCTTACTCGATCTTGGGTACAATACAATTCCACACCTGACGTTTGCAGTTCTACAAAATCATCACACAACGCTTTTAAAATTAAAGCACTTTATCATATTCTCCCTTGTGGAGATATCCTCACAAAACATTACCCTGACCTTTATAATAATAACTACATACCTTGTCCGGTCTGTAACAATCATCAAGATACTAATGAGCATCTGGGACTATGTTCAAATCTCTTACCTGTCATTAATAATATTCTACTTGATCACAAACAGATATTAGAACGCCTCCTTGAGGAGAATACTTCTTATAGTTCTGTCCTCATATCACAATCTGTTGAGCAATTCGAGCTTTTAACGCCGATTACTGACTCAAATTCTTATAATCACCCATTATATTTATTTATACACCAATTGGTCTCACAAGATTTTTATAATCTTGTACACTCTTTCACTTTTAATGACAAACTTACCCGTTCAATTATATGGGAATTTTTAACATCATTTAATGAACATATCTACCAAATATGGCCTAAACATTGTTCTTTATTGAAATTATGGGAACAACGCAATGGTATTACACCCAAACGTAAATGTGACTTTCGGAGGAAAAAACCAATGATACCACGTGACCATCAACTTATTCAACTTACTGCTTAACCTAGAATTGCCTCTTCTTCTCGTCACCGATCACAAAATCCTTATTATCCCGGAACCAGGATGAACTCTTCACCCTCAGATGGTACTTTTGGCCGCTCACCTCACCCTTGATCCTCTACGGCTCCATCTACTCGTCTTCCTCACTTACCGCACTTACCGATGTGGTTGATTTTGTGTACATGTAATTTTTTGCATTCGGGTGGATGGTTGTCTTCTGTCCGGCATCCTAGTAGTTTTGAGTTAAATATAGATAATTTTTCTTCTTTATGTAATTTTAAATTTAATTTTTTTAGTTCTTCCTTTTCGTTCGATAGTACTTTTTAGACTCCTGGTTATGCCAGATTGTTCTATTGAATAAGAGGCAAGACGACCCTTTCGGGCTTCTCCCAAGAGGTTGGGTCTATCATTAGCTTAGAATTAATTGTTCTTTTAGATCATGTTTATTCTTATTTAGCATTCGACCCCAGTCGAGTCTATATTTTAAAAATAAAATAAAATAAAAAAATTTTTGTACAATAAAAATTGTAATTATTGTACAACTTGAAAATAGACTTAAATTTAGGATACAGAAAGCAATTTTTGGGTAATCCTACTATACTACTTTCCATCTTACCTGTATGGTTACATTTGACCACTTTTGGGGTCGAATAGACCACTTTTAACCATTACAAATAGATTTTCCTAAGTAAAGTGATTTATGCAGTAAGGTTACACAAAATTCAACTGCATATTTGCTTATAAATGGGCATTTTCCGGACCCATTGGTGAAATTTTTGTATCATCTTGTAACTAAAAAAAAGTCAAAAACTTTTTATTAGGTTACACAATTAGTTCTGACTGGAATTATAATTTGGCCAGAATTATGCGGTAAAAATCAACTCTTAAAATTATATATGTTGATCATGTGATCTGATCATCAAAATAAATATGACGACGTGAAATGTTTTTGTTTATGTTTTTTTAACCTTTTAACTTTTCTTCAACTTTCTTTTAAAATATCAAGTAAGAAAAACTTGTGTTCTTTATCTTTTTATTTTCATAAATTTAATGTTACTAACTTGCTTTCTTCACTAACTTCATACTTTTTTTTTTATTAATAATACTAATAATTTACTTTTTAACACTACTAATTTGCTTTCTTCACTAACTTCATACTTTTTTATTTAATACTAATAATTTACTTACACTAATAATTTACTTTCTTCTTTGATACTACTAATTTACTTTCATGTTACTAACATACTTTATTTTATTTTATTTTCTTACAAATTTTTATATTTATGATTATATCAAATTTAGTATTTTATTTATGAAATATTGTGTATATTTTTTATATTTTAAGTCAATAAAAAAAAATTCATAATTTCACTTTATAAATTGCCTGTTATTACTGTAAAATTTAACCTATAATTCCTAAAATATGGCCTAAAATTTGGCTCAAAAATCACACAATAATTGTATAAATTCAGGTCAAAAATAGGATAATTATTGAATGAATTACCATGCAATAATTGTGTGATTTAGGCTGAACCAAATTAATTATCTGTTTTACATATCCTCCCTCCCCAATTTTTCTCAAATAATCAGAAAAAATAAATAATCACGTGACAAAAGTCCAGCCAATAAACGCTTAGTATCATGTGAACACTAAGCTATTTAATCCGATCTTCATATTACATCTACCATTAAACTTTAAATTTTTTTAATTTAAAATGAAAAATGCAGGTCGCGTTACGTACTTGCAGTTTTGTTTTACATGACACGACATTTAAAAAAGGACACTTAAATGTATATAATTGTTCAAGTAAATGAGGATGCTTAAATTTTAATAGGCCCTTTGGCAAAAGAAGTAGAAGAAACTCAAGAAAGTAGTTTGTTTTCAACTTTATTTGATCTAATAACTTCTGGAAATTACTTTCACCGAAATGTATGTGTAGAAATTAGAAAATCAGAAACTGGACCTTGGATATCAGTGCATGAAGGGTTAAAGGGTAAACTTTTATTAATGAAGACATTAGGATTTATGTACCTCAAGTATATTCTTCTTTCACACGATGTTGCTGCACCTTTATCACCACCAATACAACTTCCTAACGCTCTTACAAGGTTGATGGGTTCCAGGCATCAATTTCCAGCACAAAAACGTGAAGATACACGTAATATATTATTATATAACCATATTATTCAACTTTTTCAAAGTAGGTGTGTCGGTTGGCTTGGAGATGGTCATATTACTTATGGAAAACGATTTATTGAACGTTTAACTAAGGCTATATGGTATATAGACCCACACTTAGAAAAGTTACGCTCAAGAGGATGTCATCTTCCATCATTATTTAACTCTCTTCTGGTGTATCAGCAAAATGGCGTTTATAATGAATATTATCAAAGAATGAAGAAAAAAAACCACAACTTACACGCCTAGAACTTTTTCAATTAGCTAATTCTATAGAGCTTTCTTTAGCTGAACCTTGGGCATCTAAAAACTCTTGGCAAGAAGTTGTATTAAATGTCTTTAAATTCACATCCATGATGAAGAAATATCTTGATCATCTTGAAACTACTAATAATAATATGAGGACCCTTCATGAAAGTGAAAATCCAGCACGTGAACCATCTAATAACTGTAATATTCATCTGATTTCTAAATGTAATGAAGAAATTGATTCAAGATATTGTATATTAGATTTTGATCTTGCAAATAGAGAAGTATTTGATTTCGTTGATCTTAATCTCTATATATCAAATGATTCTATAAAGAAATATAATTTTATTTGTGATATTCAGTTATCTGTTTCTACGGGATTATACAGGTAAGATTCTTGTTTTATATTTGAAAATTTTAAAAGCATGCAATTACGCGTTAACGCACATGATTACAAAAAGCATTTTAATCTATAAAATTATTTATTTAGATATCCTCATGGTAATTATCTTGGAATACTTAATTTTATATAGAAAGCACCTGATACTGAAGAAACAAGTGATTATATTTTATTTTATAATTTTTATAATTTAATTTAATTAATTAATTATAAATTTTATTAACAAATTATAATTAGCTCAAAGAAGGAGCAACTCTTTCCGGAATTATTGAAACCAATATTTCACGGCAGAAAAATACCGCAGGGTATAACTCAAAGAGTTGGAAAAACTTTATTTTATTTATAAAATATCAACGTTATTGTTGCTACTAACTACTAATAGTTTATATGTTTCAGCTTTAACGATACTAACAACATGGACTTTACGAAATTGTCTTTTATTTTTAAAGGTTCTTCGTTTAATAATGATAGCTTTATAGACGATGAAAAATACAAAATTTTAGCAAAACTAGCTGGTCCACTTATCCTACACGATGAATATTTGCTCGCGTAAAGGCTTGGAAATATTAAAATTGCGGTAGCATTGTGGATAAGAAGAGTACAAACATTTTTGGTGCAAGAAGAACAAAATAATATTTTCGCGCGTTTTTCAGCACAACAACAAAACAATGACAATTTACCGACTGGATCTAGGAATCTTGTACCAACTTCTAATAATAATATCCCATACCAAGATGGTACACAACATTTAACCAATGATATAACAGACAAAATTACGGGTCCCAATGTCGACAACTCTAAGGATTCTCGTCATCCCGATACTACGTCCCATCAATCACGTGATAACAATAAAGAAACAACAGAGATTGTACCAC